CCGCCTTCAGCTCTCACGGCTCCGCCCCGGTACTGCTCTGTCGAGCCAGGGAGTGAACCGCTTTGAGAGGCGAAATCCTTGTTGGTTGAAATAAGACAGAAAGTAGCGGTGGGAAGGGGAAGAAAAAGAGAAAAAAAGGTAAAAAGTAGGAAGCGGGGGGAGGAATGGGGGAAAGGAGAAAAAAAGGGGAAGGAAAAAAGGGAAGACAAAAAGGAATAAAAAAAGAAAGCAAATGAAGTAGAAAAGGGGAAAAATAAGAACACAAAAGGAGAGAAAAAAAGAGGCAAATGACAAAAGGAGAAGAAAGGAAAAGAGAAACAGAAGGGGGAAGGAAAAAAAGTGGAGTGAAGGAAAGGGAGTTCTAAATGTCTTGTGAAGATTTAACACAAAGCTTGCTCTGCCCACAGGCAGCTGTTGCGCTCAAACCATCCAGCAGCTGGTGTCAGCATTGCTGCACAACTCCCGCCCCACTGCTCATCACTATTTCACTAGTAACCATAAATAAGTCACCTCAGTTTTTGGCAGGTGGTTTGCTGGCCTGTTAAAGAGTTGGCAGGATGAAACTCATAGCCTCAAATGACTGCTCTTAACATAGGGACAACTGACCATGGCCATGCTTGAGCCTCAGACAAAGACTCAGTATAGTCATGGAAAAGACTCACACTGAATGTGAAAAGCCCTGGCTCCAAATACACTTCACATATTGAGCAAAATGTATGTTTCACCTTAGATAAGGTATATATTTGAAAGCACTTTCATGCTACAGAACAGATACAGTTCTTTGAAAAAAGTTTATAGGACGTAAGGTGTTTATTCTCCAACACCCTAGTACCTTGCCACACCAGTTTCAGGCAAAAATTTCACCTGTACCCAGTACCAGCAATACCTGTCCATGCAAACAATTCTCTGAAGTAATCTCAATTTTTACTGGCTTTACTAGGTATGGTATTGTAACTCTCAGCAGTCCTATTCCTGCTTCTTTTTTTTTTCTCCTTACAAATATAATTGCTTTGCTAACTTAATTTCAAGATAAAATAGGGCCCAAAAATCTATGCCCGAAAGACAGACATCACTTAAAACTACGATGAGATATTAGGCTAGAAATACTCAGTAGCCTCAGCTAACGCGGTGTCACTGCAATGCTGACAGCTTTGCAATAACAGGTTTTTCTATCCTTCATCATGCAGATGTGACCATAGTATCACTGCCCAGCAAATTTTTGCTACAGCCCAGGAATTTATGCCTGCATGGTTATATTCAAAGGGCTCATATGTTGAGCACTCCGAGTCAAGCCTACAGGATGGCTCATTTCCAGCAAGTCACACAATACTTACTGACTTTCCCTTCTCCACTCTCCTGGTATCAGGCCACAGTTTTACAGAGACAAGGCACCATTGCTGCTGAAAGACACCATTCTGCACTCCCAAGGGACTGTCCCTCCGTTGCACTGATTTCCTGTTGTAGTGCCAGGTCAGGAAATAAATCTTGATTAAAACTAACCTAGGCAAAAAGAGAAAGTATCTGTATTTTGACTGCTTACTAGTATAACCCAAATACTCGGCTTAGGAGAGAAAGGATGGAGCAAAATGAGGCACAAGGTCAAGCACAGCAGAGCTGTTAGCCTGTAAAACCGTGGGTACACATTTAGAATCTTCTTCATACACTTGCCTGGTTCTTTTCCAGGCACAAATGTCTTACCTAATAATCCACACAATTTTACTTGTGTTTACCTTTATTGCCATTGCAGGAACTGAATCTTCCTCCTTCCACTCTTGCAGGAGGCTGTGTTTTGGGGGACGAAGCAACACTACACCCAAGTTGTGAACGTCTCTCACTTCATGAACATCTTTCCCATGTTCCTGCCACACCACTACTGAGTATAAGATTAGTTCATGAAAGCACCCACAGCTTATTCTAGATACCTTCTTTAGCAAGTTTTCAATTTGAATTGATCATTATACACAGTGTATTAACTTTACAGCTATACCACACGCAGCAGAGACTGATGAAAAATCTAGCAGCTCCTCTTCAATTTCACTAATGCGTACAGAAGTTAGCCATTTAGCATAATATTTCTAACACACTTTTGAATATGTGCCATTATAAACAGAAAACTGAGACAACATTCCAAGAACCAGTGAAAGCTAAACTAGCAAAAGAGCCATAAGAGAACAGAAACTCCTTCTCAAAGAATGAGGACAGGTCACCTTTGCAGAACCTGAAATGTCTTGCTTCAAAAACTACCAAGTTCTACTAAGAATTTTAGAACTTTAAGGTATTATGGGCCTTGGCAGGAGCAGCAAATTCAAGAGCTTCTCTCCCAGAACCAATGTCCACAGAAGCCAACTATCAGAAACACTTCTGAATAACTTGCTTTTACAGACGTGAATAAACAACAGAAGCCCAATCTAGCAACACTTGCCTAGGAAAATTCCTGAGTAGAAGTACAGTAACAGAATCCCTTTTACCAGCAAATCATGGGGACTCTGATCTGGGCTGAGTTAAAGGAAACAAGAGCATGCTGTTGTGCATTATTTATTCTAAGTATGCTGAGATCTGAGCAGAAGAGAAAGAATAATCCAGGTTTAGAATTTAAAACAAATTCAGTAGGTATATTATATAAACTTTTATTTACATAAGGCATCATAACTGCCCTTTTTAACAAAAGGGTCACTTTCCCTTTTACCAATATTTGGTGAAAGAAATGTCACATTTAGTGGACTAATATTCACTGGTATACTTGTTCCAAACAAGCAGGTACAACCCAACATACAAGGTGAAAAATTAAACACAAAACATCTAACCACACTGTTCCATTAAATACACTGTGGAGCAAAGAATTAAGGCTTGTCTGCATCATGATGATGATCAACCATACATCGTTTATTCCCACCAATAATAGAATTCATTTTCACTAGAGCAAGAATAGCAGAGGTCTGGTAATAATCCCCACATTGTCTACAGCAAGAAATGATTTGGCATCTTAGAATGTAGATTGAAAAGGAAAAGAGAGGAAAATAGAAAGTGGCCTTTGCTTCAGAACCCTTTATAAGCATTTCCAGTGTCCATCTGCAGGAACCTTTCAGTTTAAAAGGGAAAAACAGGACTTTCAATAACTGATCTAGAAACATTTTCAGAAAGACTAAAGTTATGGTTGCACTGATCATCAATATGAAACATGTAGAGAAAATACATTGTTTGGAATAATGAATTCCACACTGATATCCCCAAATAAATGGCATATATACATTGAGCTGAGCCTATTTAATTGTCTGATTTATTAAAATGGTAAACCTGTATTATTTTTAAGCTTGATTTAATAATTCCTGAGTTTTAGATCACTACTGAGCCACAGCAGATGAAACTCTGAATGATGAACTGAAAAGTTTTGCAAATCACTTTTAACATTAGCACACATTTTGTTCAGCAACTTTCAGTCATCAATAAAAGTCAGCCTTCCAGGTCCCTCATTTTTCATCCACCTCCGGTATCTCTTCCATCGGGGATCCATGGCCATCTTCTTCTTTAACTCCTCCTCTTGTTCTCGTTTGTAGACCTAATGGACAAAAGTTTTTAATAAGGATGAAAAAACAGCTTTGTGAGATGCTTTGCATTTTTGCTGAGAGCAAAACTATCTCCTTGCAAGACGGTGCTGCAAGCTCCAAAACTTTTTTTGCTAAAGAACTAGATGCTTGTGTATTCGACCAAATAAAATTTACAGTAAAGAACTGCTAATGTTCAGAAAACTAAATTTTTAGTCTCTTCTTATCACATACTGTTCAACTCAGTTGTTCAGCTTCGCTTTAGTACTTTATCCATTTCATTTTCTAAATCAAATATTGCTATGGAACTTAACTAAGTTTCTCAACTACATCAGTATCTCTGCATTAAGCACTGGCAGTACCAAATGATAAGTAATTACATTCTGTTAAGAAATGGTGTCATTATAATGAAATCTACAATTACCAGTGAAGTATCTAAAAAAAGTAACAGCATCCACACTTTTGATCTGGAAGGCAGTTTATGTAGATACAGCCAGTATAAATCTTAACACCATATAGGTTTATGTCATCTCAGCATCATCTTCCATCCATCTTCCCAGAAGGGGACTAAATTTAAGGCTCTGCTATGTATGAATAAGGTTTTAAAAATATTATAGACGGATTTATACCAGTTCCATGTTCAGTCATAATACAGGTTTTAAGAATTATTACAAAAGAGGGGAAAAGAATGTTGTAGAGCTTCATATGTATTGAATCTTTGATCTTTCCCATCACAAAAGGATATTGGAAAACTGAATAATATGCAATAGGCATCTCCAACAATCACAGAACAGTAAGGCTTTTGGGGAGAAACATCTAAGCATAGTCATGTCTTCTAGGCTGAAAAATAAGTTCCAAGTAAGGATATAGCAATGGTACACAGGAACACAAGTAGCACAGAAAAAGAGAATAAAGCATGATTACTTTCCATTTCCAATAGTATAAGAACCAGCAGGTGTCCAGGTGGTTAAAAAAAACCCTTATCTTCTACACTTACTGCTGAACTCATAACCAGATGGCATAGGAAACACTGAACCTTTTAGTGCATTTAAGGAGTGACTAGGTGAGTTTATTAAAGAAAAACTTATTAATGCATTTACCTACAATGACACCATTTCCTGTTCAAGAAGTCCCAAAGCTGCAAATTATACTGGATAAATATTGCTATCTAGTCATCTTTACTAAAAATCAAGTGCTGTCCACCACAGGAGATGAGCTTGGACTGAACAGACATTACTTCTTCAATACACCTCTTTTATATTCAGTGACCAAAGCATCACTAGCCAAACAGCACAGATCCCAAACTAGGCCATTTTTCCCTCTACAACACCACAACATTCATCCTATCTTACTTTCTCCATACAACATCTGCTTTTGATAATACTCAACCTTTGGACTTCCAGACTGTTTTCTAGCAAACCCATCATCATTCAACATGTATGAATGCTGATTAAGCTCTTGGCTAATCCTTTCCATACATGGGCATCAATTTTACTATTTTCCTCTCCAAGGTTCTAGAGTAATCCACCCATGCCTACTTTTAAAGCAGCATTATCTTATCTTTGGTGCCCTGCCAGCAGCAAAGGCAGTTCTGCTACAATCCTATTTCTTTTCCCAGGACATGCAGAGCATCTCTTCTTCCCCTTAAGCAGGTCAAGCCCGTATTCTCAGTTTCTCTTCTAGAAACTTCCCATCCAGACAGCCCACAGATGAGCTTCTGTGGAACAATGAAAGCATTTTGTCAATCTGACTGGTTCCCCAAGTCATTCTGGACTGCAATTCCATACTGATCTTTCACTGCTCTCATAGAACGATACAAAAAAAATTACATACTGCTATTTAGTGACTAGCTATCCAGGCAAGAGTAGCAGTTGTGCCCAATACTATTTCATATACCATCTTTACTTGAACAGGTATGCAGCACAGCAAGAACAGTCCCTGACTCACTGAAGGCCAAAGAACTATCAAGAGACATTTTAAAAAAAAAGTTATAGGAATTAATGGCTTAGAAGACTGATGAAATCAGTTTCAGATGATCTGGGTAACCCTTATTGCAAAGTATTATGTTTGGAGAACAGTCTTCAACCTACTGTGATACCATATTGTTACAAGAAAGCCTTTCATCATATTCAATTAAATCCTGTATGCATAGATTCCCTGACAATCACAGATGGATGTTGCCTGACCAAGCAAATCCCTTCCTATAATCACAGACATGGTCAGGAGCTGTTGTCTACCAGTTTATGAGCATAAGAAATTGAAGAAAACACACCAACAGTTTTCAATTTAGAAAGCAATAGCTAAAACCTGAAGCAACGCATCACACAGCTCCATTCCAATCACCTTCACAAAACAGCTGTTTTTACTCCAGGAGTGCTGGATAACTTAACACTAGCTTTTCCACCACAGCTACCTACCTCATAGTTTTCCCTTATCCACAGCTGTCGCTCAAGAAAGATCTCTTTTTGGTGATCTTCTAGGCTGTCAAACTGTGATCGAGACATTTTCATGTACCTGCGTATGATATACAGCTTCTCTTTCACACCATACTCTCGCCCTTTAATAGTGAAGCAATAAATCCACCAACAGTACCACACTAAGTATCTGCACAAGTAAAAAGGAGCAAGAAGGAGCTGAAATAGAAGGATATCATATATCTTGGGCTTTTGATAACCGCCTTTGATATCTATTTTATTTTTAATAATGTCTTTGATGATTTCTTCCTCTTCCTCACGAATTTCTTCTTTAGACCGCCTGTTCTTGCCCTTTTCTTTAGTCTTGTTGAGTAAACCTTGGTGTCTGGCAATCTCAGTAGCTTGTATACGGTATTTTGGCACTGTAGCCAGGTAGTTGATTGCTTCATTGTAACTACTCCACCAGCTGAAGAACTGTAATTGAAGAACAGTAAAAGTAAATACTATGTTTTTATATAGACATTCCTATTTGGAGGTTTTCCAGGGAAAACAATAATGTTGTCATATATCTTTAACAACAATTACATTACAGCAAGAGTAAAAAGTGAAGGTAACAGTACTTCTTCTGCAGTATTACAGGAACTGTATTCCTCCAAACTTAGTAAGGCACTTGGAAAATAGATTTATATCTCACAGCAATATACAGTGATGAGGAAGGACAAGCAGACACCATTCAGACTGGTTTTGTTCACAAGAAGATGGTAATCTCCTGAAGCTTAATGCTAGGCTGTGCTGGCCATTCACAGAAGCCCCCTTGGATTTATAAATAAAGTAGCTGATCTATAGCATTTCATTATAAAATTGTTACCCATTTAAAATAGTTAATTAAACATGAATTAAGTATGTGAAAGACTCATTAGTCTGACAGGACTGACTTTACAAGATTCAGTATCCCTCTCTAATCTCCAGCTACACTCTGAATTTCAATTGGAAAAGAAAAAAAAAACCAACATTGCACACCATTCACCAAGACAAAGACAATATACAACCTTAACGGAAGCCAAGAAACAGAAACAGAAAGTAAGAAAGAGCCAAATCAATTTACACAGACGTTTACTGTGCATGTGCAATCATCCCGCAGCTAGAGTGCAGGAAAGTGTCCATTTACAGCCAAAATAAGAAAAATGAACTCTGACATCGGAGGCAAGTCTGAAGAGAAATTAAGTATTAGGTTGCATATGCCATAGGATTTTACTATTCCAAGGTCTCAAGTTCTGATCAGCATATTTGTGTTTTAACTTCCAATATACCACTAAAAAGTGAGCTATCTGCACCACAGAATAACCTGTGTCTTAATCTTTTTTTTTGGCTATTTTTTAACAACAATTTGAATTAGCAATCTAACAGATGCTAAAGAAGAGTTATGGACCTTCTTCCACTTAAATACTTGTCAGCAGTAGCACAAGTTTTCTCATCTAAAACACAGGCTGTTTCCTTGATCTTGGAACTACCACCTTCATAGCAAACTTCACTAAACCAAATTTACTTCTCTCCTTACTTCACTGTGGTGTCTGGAACACACTGCAATCTAAGATTCACACACTGGTAAACTCCTGATATTCAGCACCATCATCTGAATTAAGTCTTTAATTTAGTTTGCAATTAGTCTGCTTTTTAAATTATTACTTATGTAGTTTGACAAACTGACACATGCTTATTTGGAGCACTAGTCCTGCCCATGCTCAGGAACAAGCTATTCTCAGCCTGTCATTAAGAACTAAGTAACTTCTTTAGAAAAGCTGCACCTACCATTAGAAGAAACTAATCTCTACTTTTGTCCAAGTTACAAAGGGCAGTCAAAAATTTGCTCAGTACATCTCCATTTCAGATTTGTTATGGACACCACACAGAAGCTTGCCACAGCAGACAGGCACAGGCCTCCTCACTGACACTGTTTAATATCTGGCAAGCTACAAGAGCTGCAGATAGCTCTTCCCATTCAGAAACTCAGTGAGCAGTGTCACATAAACATGAAATTTTACCTGAAACACAGAGATGGCACACACTGTAACTAGGATCACTATCCTGACATCCACTTTAGGTGACAGTCTCCTGCTGTAGTAGTGGTAATAATGCCTGTAATACTCTTCTGGATGATCCAACATGTAGTCATAATCTTTACGTGTTTCTTCATCCTGCAAGATCAGATGAAAAACATGCACAGCTTCAGTTTCCTGTTTTCACTTACTCTGTTATAGCTATGTTTTAAACCTCATTAACACTTCTATAAAATTTGGAATAGCCTAACCAAGTATGAAGCACAGAGGAAAATCTTTGTTCCTTTTCTCATTTTCTCAATTAATTTGTTCTCCCACTCATCTGCCCACACACATCTGATATACATGGCCTTAAATGCATAAGCACACACTTCACGAAAACAATACTGAAATGAAGACAGGCAACTGAAATCTACATAATAAGTATTTTTAACTTCAGAATGTTGAAAACCAAATGGACTAGAGTTAATAATTTAATAAATATTGCTCAGGAAGAGATTTTCAGATGAAGAACCTATTAAGAGACTGTTTCACATATCTTTTAAAATTAGCTTACAGGGCTGTGGAATCTGTCCAGTGGAAGGCCGTTTCAAAAACTCATTGTTATTTTCTTGTAGTTTTTCCTCATTTTCACTCATGTAATTAAGAGACGAGAAATATAATTTTGTCAGCCTCAACTGCATTCCTTTCCTAGCCCTCAAAAAGTTCCTTTTTTTCCTCCCCCATAGCCTTACAAGTTAGTTTCTTTCTTTCATTCTTGAGTTGCACCTTTGCCAAGGCACACATAGTTTGCCCTGATAAGCCTCTCTTACAGATCCCAGATGCCACTTGTCACCATTACTTTTTTGTTTAAGGGTATACCTCTAAGATAATGCCCAGTCAGTTCATTTTAAATACAAAGTGGCTTTCAAAAGAACAAATTTTACACACAAAGGGATTTTCAAGGGAACTGTACTCTCCCAGTGCTCTTAAGACTGGTTATTGAAGATTTTTAGGGCTTTTTCCCCTCCTTTACTGTCAGTAGGGTGCAAGTTGGCTGAGCCGACGCAGGGAATGCAAAACTGCTGCTGTAGAGCCTATTGCGATGCACAAAACTGTAAACTCTAGAGGCTCTGATCGTCCCGCAGGGAAAAAACACCTGCAAGGTGGTTTTTTTGCCCCGGGCAGGATACCGACGTTTAAGTCGGATGTCTTTTGATGCACCCTTCAGAGACAGACGCAGCAGATGAGTGGCAGCCGTCCAGCAGAAATCTGAAGAAGATTAAATACCCTTCAGCGTCTTTTGAAGCCATGATTTTTCTTCTCGCAACATAGGATTGCTTAATATTGCTGCCTGCGGTTAACCCCCGAGCTTCCCACAGGCAAAAAGGGGCCATTTAAGTAAACTGGACAAACAAGAGAGAAGGGAAGCGTGCCCTGGCCGGCCTCAGCCTCAGACCCGGACCTTCTCGCCTGGACACTGTCTCCATTCCCGAAACAGAGACCGCCGAGGGCAGGGACAGGGCGTGTAGACGCGATGCGGGGCAGGGCGCCCTGCCTGCCCCAAGGGCGCTCTGACTGCCCCGCTCCCCAGCCCGCCCACC